CACAAAAATAAAAGACCCGTAAGTGACAAATACAATTTTTCCATTCAGGATACTCATAGGTTTTCTATGTTGACAACCTCTTAATTTTTAGTATATATCATTAGATAAGGACTCTAAATGAAATGGCATATCATTTAAAATGTAATTTTTTGCCTGTTTTAATGACAGCATTTTTCCATTATTTATTCTGAGTCCAGGAAATAAAAATATCCTAAAACAGATAGGGAGTAGCCTACACTAATGGAAATCAGCTCAAATCCCTTTGCTTTTTTAGTTCAGGTTGAGGTAAGGTTGTAGAGAAGGATTTAGTTAGTTCTATTTCCTGTGGTTTAGTGTATGATAAAATATTATAAGAGAGCATGGAGATCCCTTCCCTCCTTCCCTCCTTCCTTCATTCCTCCCTCTCTTCTCTCCTTCCACTCATCCACCCACCTATGTATCTATCTCTCTTTCTATCTATCCATCAAGCCACTCATCCACCCATCTATGTATGTACACATGTGTATTTACCTATATCACCTATATAATTTAAAATACCAGTAGACCATATCTTCCATGAACCCAGAGATATTCCTAATCATCCCTATTAAGTTTTAAGAAATATGAATCTATGTATCTCTGAAATAGAATCTTTTATTCAAAGGTTATGAGTATTAGATTGCAGTGATGTTCTAGCACATGGCTTGGGACTGCTTGAAATGAATAAACTCTGGCCTCCTTGTATGAAGATTTACCTAGATACCCTTATGAATCCTTTGTGAGACCCTATGGCACAGGTATGACAGGTGTGTGTGTGTGTGTTTGTGTGTGTGTGTGTGCATGCTCACGTGTACACAGAGCAAGACAATATTATGGCATTTTATTTGGGTTTCTATTAAGTTGAGCTATATGGAATTGCCAAGATTCTGCCATTTTTGTCACTCAAAAATAGCAATTTAATACGGTAGAGTCTAATACAATGTTGGCAACAAAACTTTAAGGTCTCAAAAAACAAAGAAGGTATAAATTAAAACAAACAAAATTCTGTTGCTTGTGGTCTCTTCTGCTCAGTCTAGAGACACCTGTGTGGCCTGGCACTGCAATGCTATGTCAAAGGCTTCTTGGCATTTGGGGATCTTTAAAAGAAATGTGCATTTTATGTGAAAGGAGAAACGGCCCCTGGTAACTATCAGTGCAATCAGACTGTGATGAAATTTCAGAAGTGAAATACTCTGCATTGCTTTATTCTCTAGCTGGGCTACACCTAGCTACTTTCTGCTGTAATGTGGAGGGACGTTTTCATGCACTGATCATTAGGGGATGTTAGAGTGTTAGCAGGCAGGACAAGCATGACAAATGTCTGTCTTTTTGGCGAGATAACGTTTTCATCGAAGCTGTGTACACATCATACATATTTTCCCAAATATTTGTGGCACAATTCATTGCACAGGGAATCATCACCCCCTCCCCACCCCCCACCTCCCAGTTTGGCTGCTGAAGGATGCAACAACGACCAAGTCATAATACACAAAGGAAACAAGAGCCAGTCCGTAAAGAGAAGCCTGCCCCCAGGCTTAATACAAGCAAGCCATTCATCAAGCTGATGTGATGGACCTGTCCCATCCAGAACATACCACAGACACGCCAGCAACACCAAGTGGCATGCAATGACCAGATGACCAAAGGCCCCACCGCCATGCTTTGATTGGTTCAAGCTCAGAAAACAATCTCCTTTGAGAGTTCAGACACTTGGCTTTCCATCCATCAATGTGAGATTAAACATAAAGATCTGGTGAGGTCAAGTGCTTACCAAATGTTTCCTAAATGCCAAAAAAAAAAAAAAAGATGCTCACCTATCCCCAATTAAATCTGTCAATGAGACTATAAAATTACCCAGTCCGGTCAGGTCTTTTTCTTTGGGGGAAATCTCTGCCCACACCAGATGGTCTTCATTCGGGAGGTCAACATTCAGAGATTCCCAGGTTGCTCGGAGATAATCAGGTGTGATCATTGAACCAAGAAGATGATGGGCAGGAAGTTGCAAGGTGCCCATTAAGGACCTTCTGGATGGTTCTGAGGTTATTGGAGTTCAATATTTTGCAAAAGTCCCTGAATCTTTAATTTGATGAGGGCTTAATTTGTGCTGATAAAAGGTAAAATTCTACCAACTGGGGACATCAAACTTCCTTTTGCTTTCAAGACGTCTGAAGAGTGAATCTCCTGATTACAGGGAAAGTTTGTTGCAGTTTCTCTTTTGATCAAATTGACAACCAGTGAGAATTACCCAAAACATTCTCAGTTCCTGCTGATTTTACTTCCTATTCTGAAGAAGTTTCTTTTTGTGAAGTTTTTCTCTTTGTCATCCTGCCTGTCTTCTAGACAAGAGGAACCAAGAATCTATCGCTACTGATATTATGCTGTGATGGTATAAAAATAATTGCTTATATGATTGCTACTGCTGAGATACATTCTAGGTACTTAGCATCTTTCTTCTAGATTCAAAAGCTATTCTGATCATTTCACATTTTTCCCAAAATATGTCTCTTCTATAAAATGGCCTTCCTTCTCTATATCTGCTTATTAAGATGAAAAGGAAGAACCACCACTTAATAGAGACACTTTAAAAATCAAACCAAAAATATCATTTCAAAGACTGTTTTCTGGTAATTTACCTATTACTGGATTTACCTTCAATGAATAATTGCATATGTGCCGAGTGTCTTGCTTATAATAAAGTTAAATAGGAATGCTAATCAATTTCCACAGCAACCAAGAGGACCTAATGTGCAGATTTCTCTAATGAACAACAAGAGGCCAATTACATGGACAAGAGTATAGTTAGTTGGTTTCTTCAACTGAAATGCTTACACTAAAATGGGAATTGCAGAATTATTAAAGATTTACCAATCCAAAAATGAGGACAATCTTTCAGTAGGACATGTTGCCAATGAGAAACCTCAATACTATTGAAATAATAGATTTTATACATACATTTGCACATATGGTGTTCCAAAACACAGAGAATTTTAACTTAATTTTTAGATGAAGGCAAGTAGAGATGGCTAGATTCTCAAGCAATTCTATCAAAGACTAGTATTAAGCATTGTTTATTTTTTTTTAACGAATGTCTAGATCAGTCTTATTGAAGAAGGCAATTTAAATTATATCTTTGTAATTAACCTTTTTTCAACTTGGGGATAGATGCACTTATACTGAAAAGCAAGATAAATATTCAAAGAAATAAATCCGTTTAAGACTCTCATAATTATACAGCAGACTAAAGTTACTATGATTATAATTATATACAAAGTGGGTGTTTGAGAATTTAGCATCCAGAGATATTTTCATAAAAATAATTAAGGGTTGTAGCTGAACCACATTACAATTGATACTGTGTGAATCTTCAGCGTGCAGAATTTAATAACATTAAGCCTTTTCCTTTATAGAGTGATCTTAAGTATTTCAAAGATTGCCATCATTTTTATTAGCCTTATTGACCCTGTCTGTTTTCCTAATCCATTGTCAAAGTGTATTAAAGATAACAACCTCCATGAAACATGTTTTGCATCTTGGCCACTGATTCCTGGGTAACTGGATAATGTTTGTCTTTAGAACTGTGTCTTGACAACTGTTTTGGGTTCCTTTGAAGGCCCCCCCTACAGCCTTGAGAACTTGTTACGGCTGTTTATAAAGAGGAATAATAATAACAATAATAATAAAATACCTGCAGATAACCACACAGCAGATCTCAACTCTACCTTCCCAAAGAGCCACTTGTTACAAGTTTATGCATGGGGTTTTCAAAGTGCAGCTTTGGGGAGTCAGGGATTTATTCTGCTTTGTGATATATCTCAGAAGAATTCCGTGGCTGCCATGAGCTGACCACACCCCTTGTGAGGAATGGGATGGAAGTGCGGAGGAGGAAGCGCACCACAGCAAACCCAGGGAGGAACTAGATCCCAACAGGAAGGAGAACCGGTGGCTGCAGTTGCAGACACTTTCCATTCAAGAGTCAAAGACACCCGCCTGCTTACCTGTCTGACCCAGCATGCCTCAGCCACACATGCAAAGTGTTATCATTATTGTTTTATTCAGGAAACATATTTTTAAATTAAAGGAGTCATTACCAAAAATAAGCACCCTCCGTGGCATTTTTTGCATGCAGAGCATCGGAACATTCACATTTAGGTCCTCAGAAAACAGAGCCAAGGAGTTGCATTCAGTATGGAAACATACACTTTTCCTTGTTCAAGGCAACGGTACAAACATAGCTCTGGCTTGCCGTTTCAGGAACCGACTCATCTGCTAAGCCTGGGGACCCCCACACCCCCACCCCACCCATCCATTCCGACTTTCTGCCTGTCTCCAGCACACTTCTGCCCTTCTGCTGCCAGTCCCAGCATGTGGCGTGCATTGCAAATACAAGTTGACTTATGTTCGTAGGATTGGACACTGGGTGTTGCCAAAAAGAATGAGTCTCCTTATGAATGCCAGATACACTCCCCCGTTCCTTTATTTGGAATTTAAAAATGCAATGGAGAGAGCATGCTTGACTTAGTCTAAAAAGTTGTAAAAAGGGAAATCGGGTGCTCGGAACTGAGGCAAACCTGCAGGATCATCTCGTTTTTCTTCCTATGAGTTGGACGGAAACATGGTCTTACATGGAAGACCTTTTACAGGGTTGTGTGAGAGTGTGTGAGAGTGTGTGTGTGTGTGTGTGTGTGTGTGTGCAAGGTGGGTTGTCACAGGAATCAAGAGATCTGAACAACAACTGCCCAGGGAAAAAACATAACATTTTCTTTGTGTCTTAGCAGAGAGGGGAAGTAGTTTAGAAGGAACTGGGCTTAGGCGTTTGCCATGTCTATGTGGCCTTGTGTTCACCTTCACTATGGGACCTCACTTTTGGGGTGGCTGCCTCCCCAGCATTCATGCATTTCCACCAGGACCGGACGAGAACCTCCTTTCCCACCAGCTAAGTTAATTTCCGAGTCACTGTCAAGCAGGAGAAGGAAGACCCTTACCTGTCACTGTAGGCGGCAGCGGTGGCAGGAGTGGGCTGGGCGTAGCGATATGCAGCATATCCACCCTGCAATGCAAGCAGAAAGGTGACTTAGGGGTGCAGCCCAGCCCCACCCGGGACACCCAGTGGCAAGGAGACCACATCAGAACAGCAGTGACCCAAGTCTACCAATCTGAAGTCAAGGTTAATGAAAGCTTAGTGCCGAAGTGAAAGCACAAAACCCGCTGAAGAAAGACGGGGTGGAATACCGCCCCAGCCGGATGTTAAAGGTTAGCGTCACAGCACATCCCAAGGGGAGAGAACCCAGACGCCCTTTGAAAGAACCGGACCTACATGTTAATGTGATTGGCTTGGGGGTGGGGAGGATCAAAGGGGATTATTTAAACACTTTTTATACTTTGCTGAACTTTCCAGATTTTCAAAATTGATTCTTATATTAGATATTAGTTTCATTCATGTCATCCTTGATTATTTCCTTATAAAATTAAAAAAAAAATCAAGTGAACACTTTCCTGTCTTATATTTATTAAAAAAAATCAGATAACCCCTTCATTGAAAGTTTATCAATAATCTCTTACCTAGGAAGTCATTTTTAACCACGAGTGTTATGGAAGAAGATTGCCTTTAGCTTTCTAAATGTTACCTAATTATTACAAAAATGAATGGTGCACATTTCTTAAAAATTCTTTTTGGCTAAAGATAACACACAGCTCTGTAATGGCACTGGTTCAGATGGGGAATTTGTTTGGTGTAGAAAATACAATAAAGTCTTTTAATTCGTAAATAAAATCATTAAGAGAGAAAAAAAATCTGAAAAGAAAAAATAATTAACATTTAGTTGCATGTACCAGTAATTGCAATTGTTCAATTAAGCAAAGAGGACAAGCAAATGGGCATATTCAAAAGGAATTGTGTTCAGTGGAGCATTGATTATCAAACTGTGAAAATAACAGAGCTCCTTGCTCAACCGACCAAGGCGATACATCAGCTGCTGTGGAATGATCTCAGCACAATGAACAAACAGGATCCAGTTTCCACTGATAACACAGGACTGTTTAGGTTCTAATTAGAATACACAGTCCCATGGTCCTCTGAGGGAAGGCTTCTCACCATCACCATAAAGGGGCAATTCAGTACAGAATTGCATGTCAGAAGGTACTCAACGGCAAAATCATGAGTTGCATTTGGCCTCCTCAATGGTGGAAACTAAGTAGTAGGATAGGAAATAGGTAAAGCAGGAAAGCTGCAACAAGCATCTCTCAAAATACAGGGAGAGGGTCTTCATAACTTATCTCTACTTCCTTCTAGCCTCAGCTAACTCTCAGAGTTAATCTGCTACAAATTGCATAGCAATTCAAAAATATCAGTCTATCCTTTAAAAAGTTTGCTCTCTGGACCAGCCCCAGAGAAGACACATCCAATCCAAATCACCCTGACAGATAATCACCAATAATTCGGTGCCAGTTTTTTTTTTTTTTTAAGCCTCTTTTGAAAAACAATGTAAAAGTTAATAAAAAACAAAAGAGGTCTTAGCCAGATTACCACTCAGTGTTCTAAACTCCACGTTCTCCAATTGGATATGGGGAAACTCGTTAAATGTGCTGAGTGAGGAGTTGTAAAACCAAAACAGTTGTGGTACTAGCTCTGAGCTCAAGAAACAGAATGATGGACAAAGGAGAGATTCAGTCACCAGGTTACTGGAGCCATTCTTTGATTCTGGTTGTCCATCTTGGCTTTCCAGATACACACAGGAAAATATAGGTGTGCACATTACACTTAAGGAGGTAGGGCAGAATGGCTAGCTGATCGGTAGGAGGCATCAGTTGCAGCTGGCTGAAATTTGAGGGGGAGAAAAAGTGTGTGTGTGTGTATTTTTTTTCTCTCTCAGAACAACAACAAAAAATGTATCAGCATCAAGTGCCATGTGAGTCAGGATTCGGTGACTCAGTATTTCGTCCCAGCAAAGCTTTCTAGCAGCGTCCTATTTGCAAACCCTCTGGGTTTGAACTTTGCTTATCTCCCCCACCTTCTTGCAGTAGTTTCAGTAGAAGAAAGGCGGCAGCAAGTTTGAGAAAATCGGAAGAATTGCTTGCTGCATTGCAAACAGAAAGTAACTAAAATGAACCTCACTGGCTACTAGGTTCATGTTAATGGTAGGAACATCGAATGCAGGTGTGTACACGGGGGGTTAGAGAAAATAACCCCGTATTTCTACGTAAGACAGGCACAAGTGATCAATGCCTTTGCCGTTGTTATTTAGGAATAAAGTATTCCCAATTCAAGAGTGTCCATATCACAGTTTTCTAAAATCTCTGCAGCCAGTGGAGATACTGACCAACATTGTAGCCACTTGTCATAAGTGGCTACTATTGAACACTTGAAATGTGGCTGGTGCAACAAATTGAATTTGTAATTTACTTATGGTTAGTTCACTTGAATTTAAGTGTAAGTAGCCACATGGGGCTGGTGGGTACAGTATCAGACAGTAAAAATCTAAGTGATCCTTGACACTCATATTAATAATTGGGGAAAAAGGACTAGATGGCTTCCTGCCTCCTCCAGCTCTATCGATTGCATTGTCTTCTCTTGCTATTTTTCTTATGTATGAAAACCACATTAGGGAAATAACAGAGCTGTGTATTAACTCAGTGCATGTGTGCACACACTGTAAAATACAAATTGCTTTAATTGGCTTTTCTAACAGGTGACTCTAATCAATTGTATTGCTCCATATTTTGCAGCTCTCTGGCCATCGCCAGAACTTCTGCAAGAAAAAGGGTCACTCGCTTCCACTTGCTGTCCCCAGACTGTGTTCATGTTTAACCTGGTCCTCCTGGACCTTATGACAAATATGCATCATTGACAGTTGGATTTTTCCCACCATGAAACCAAAGGAAAAGGAGATGGCAAGCACAGCATAATTCTGCATCTCCTACCCATAGAATGTAATCATTCTATTCATGTAGGGCAGCAAAATATCAACGTGGCTTTAAAAATAAATTTTAAATGGCCATTATGGACACCCCCCACTTCTTGCCACTACTAGCAAACATCAAATGCAGCCATCCAAGATACCCACTCCCATGGGGACCGAGAAGTTTCCACTGCCAGCAAAACCTCTGGAGGTCCCTCGGGGTAGTTAAGGACCGCCAATGGTGCTCCAATAAAGCATTTTCAAAGTTGTGCTTGCGGGATATTAACAGTGGCAAGGGAAGGGAAGTTTCCATGACCAAATAGGTTTGGGAGAAGCTGAGTTAAACACCATAAAACTGGTGACTACATTTTGGGGGCTTCTCAAAACAATACTGATGAATGCTGTAGATCTCCAAGGCATCTCAAAGCCATTTGACAACAGAAATCAAAGTTCTCACGGACACACAGGCAGGGGTAGGACTGGAATATGCGTGTGCCTCCCTCCAGCTCACGCACATATGAAATTAGCAACAGGCGTCACCCCAGAGAGAGGCTCCCTCCCTTCTGAGACTATCCAAGGGTCTGGTCTCACTCCGTGCAAAACATTTGTATTGGTGTCCATACAACTCAGATTTTATTTACTAAAACAACATTTACAAGAACATTTGCAAAATGAAAAGTGTAAATATAAATTGCGACACTGTAATTTAGCCGCATGATACATCCAGCTATTTTTGAAGGATGGCAATAAGCGCCCAGTTTTCTTGAAATGTGACAATCAAAGTTGGTCTCAGGAATTTTAACTATTCTTCCCTTTCCTAGGTAAAAATATTCCCTTTTCATACTCAGTTTCTAATTGCATCTTTTATTCGACAATTTTAATGTTGGTTGTAGACCAGATTTAGCCAGCTAGCTATATTCCAATGAATGTGCTTTTTTTTTCTTCCTATAAATTCATTCATTCGGGGGTTGTTTCCACATTAAGAAATGGGGTTGAAAGCTGTAGCGATAGGTGCAAAATAGATTTCTGACCAGCTACAATAAAATCTGGGAGGGTTATGTTAGCTATGCTGATCTTCAAAGCCGGATATATAAGAGGTTTGGATTTAACCATTCCAGTTGACTCCAGGAACCTACTGAAAAACTACCCAATTGGTTCAGTGAGAACCTTTAATCCTTTTCATTGAATTTATATGGATTGAATCCACATACATTTTAAGTACAAAAATTCATATTCAAGCTAGTCTTCCCTTTTGATACACTTACAATCTAACCACGCCCATGGCTATGGCCAACGACAGTCGTGGAAACAGCCGTGATCTTTGGAAGGAACCACTCATGCCAATCAGTGGACATACCAGAAGGTATGGGAATGACCACCTGTATCCTAGAAGATTTCATATCAAAACTGGAAAATTCAGTGAAGTCTTTCTCCCTTCTATGTTAGAGAACATTTCCCTTCCCCAGAATTATCTTGTTAGTAAGGATTTCACAGCAAACCCATGATCATAGTGATGTGTTTTTCCACCAGTCGGGATTTCATACCTGCAGCAACTTATTGCCATACACAGGCTCTTGATACACTACTCTATAAGGAAACAGAAATGTAATGTTTTCAATGCAAAAATGAAATAAATAAAAGAAAATGCATAAGTCAGACAGAAATTCCAAAGCCATTCGTTTCCAAGTTTGCTTCTTTGACTTCACTAAGACTTGGGGAGCGACCCACCAAACCTAAGGGGGAACCTGGTCATAGTCATTGCCAGGCCCTTTTAGTTGTAAATCTTCAAACAAAGGCAGAGACGGGGATCGAATTACACTAATTTTATTGGTGTTAGAACTTGTGTTTATTTTTAAAGATGCAAAAAGGATAATTTCATGGCTTCTTACCTTTCAAACAGTATTTCAACAGTTAATTATTTCGAATTTGTCTCTTTGTCTCATGACTGGAATTCTCTGGAATAGCGGAGGATTTAACTCAGATGCCTAATTACTGAGGTAGTTAAGACAGCAGCACGGATGCCTAATTACTGAGGTAGTTAAGACAGCAGCACGGTAGCGACCAGAACTGCACTGACACCTTTACTTGTGAAATTAATCTCAACTAACAGCCCAGAGAGCAAAATTGCATTTCACGAATGCATGAATTACACTAAAGCTACCAAAGCTGCTTTTAATATATAAACTATAAAACCTATTTGTGCATGTGTGTGTGTGTGTGTGTAAATACTACTGCTAATATACAAGTCATTAACATGACATCACTTCATTCAAACATAAAACTGACAAAAATCCCCGTAGAACTCTTGCATAGACTGGGAAGCAATTTTCGGATGCGAGAATTATTAATATTTGTGGGTGAGGCTAATCTTTCATGTGAGTGGGCCGAGTCAGAAGTAAAATTCTCCAGTTCTGGGGCGCATATTGAGGTGGCTGAACATTTAAAGAAACTTGGTAACCTGATATGTATGTGTGTGCGTGTGTGTGTGTGTGTAATTTTTTCTTATATAGTCTGGCTTTCTTATCCAATTTAGTTCTAACTAACCTTTTTTTTTTTTTTTTTTTTTAAGTTACAATCTATGCTTATGGAGCTATGACTGTCAAAGTTCTTCATTCTCTCTCTCTCTCCCCTACTAGTTCATTGTTTATTTGAAGGTTTCAAGTACAGACATTACGCTCCGGTGGCCCGACCATCCCGTATTCTATTGTTCTCTCCCTTCTCACTCTCCTCCTTGCCTTTCTTTCCCTGTGTTTCTCAGATTTTGCTCCATGAGGGTGACAACTTCAGTCTGTGGGTTTAGTGCTTACATGTTGAACGCTACAGTCAAGCCACGTGGGCTCCAGCATCCAGGGTCGGGGAAGATTTCTGGGCAAATTATTTCATCTCTTTTCTAAAAAAGAAATGTTTCCTCTCCTTAAAAAAAAAAAAGGAGGTGATAAGATTCCTCTGTGCTAGGGTGGTGGGGAGGACAGAGGAGCCAACACGGCTAAAATGCTGAGCGTCTCGTCTCACGTAGGCAGACGTGTGGCTCACGGCTGGACTGCCGCCTCCCCGTGATGACTGGGGACAGGAAGCCCCACGCGCAGCCCCTCCAGGGTCCCAGCAATGAAGACTGGGGTTCCTATCTGGACGATTCCTACTTTCCAGCTTTCCATGTCCCCAAAGCTACCGACACTTCTCATTCCTGAGCTCAAACATGGGCAAAATGAGGACACCTCTCTGTTTTAACATACGGGGATGGCAGAGTGACATGAATCCAGAAATAATTGTGTTAGCCGTGGTGTCAACCAGAAACTTGTTATACAGAATTTAGGAGTGGTGCAAAATGCACCGGAACCTCAGAACGTATTTGTCAGGCGGCCCTCATGATTTGCCTCCATTGTTAGGAAGCTTAGGGCATTCCTAATGAAAAGGAACATGGTTAACATTTATATTGTTCTCTCTCTCTCTCTCTCTCTCTCTCTCTCTCTCTTTCCTTCCCTTCTTCTCATTGTCCAGAACCCCACTTTCTTACTCCAGTTTCCACCAATACTTTGTGAATTCTTTTTTATAGTTCCACTATAATTTCCTCCTGTCCCTGCCCCTCTTTTTATTTCCCACAGTGATCTTTGGATCAAATGCCACATTCTCTGCTCTCTGAGAGGGTCAACCAACAGGTGTCTTGTTCAGTTAACAACACTTCTCATTTCTGCTCCCTGGTCACTTTCTGGCCTCATGAAATCTACAGCTTCACCCCTAAATATAACAGACAGATTTGTATGTCTAGGAAACTTAGTCCTTCTAAGGCAACCTTCTACCATTATTAACTTAATTATTTTTTTTAACTTGACCCACTTTTTCATTAAAATCAATTTATTTGGCCAAATGTGTTGGCTCACATCTGCAGTCCTAGCACTGTGGGAGGCCGAGGTGGGAGATGGCTTGAGGTCAAGAGTTCAAGAATAGACTGAGCGAGACCCTGTCTCTATAAAAAAATAGAAAATGTAGCTGGGTGTGGTGGCACACACCTGTAGTCCCCGATACTGGGGAGGTTGAGGGAGGAGGATCACTTGAGCCTGGAGGCTGCAGTGAGCTATGATAGTGCTGCTGCACTCTAGCCTGAGCAATAGAGACAGACCTATTATCTCTAAAAAATATGAATGTATTTAAAGGTGCACCACTAATAATAGTAAGCTTGTAGATTTGATATGCTAGTTATGATAATTAAATTCCTACTTTTTAAATAAAACTGTGTTATGTCCTCAAGTAGGAGGGACTCTGGTAATGACTTTTCCTACCCTCCTTTCTTTTTTGTATTTTTTTTTTTTAGTTTAATTTTTTTTTTTTTTTTGAACAGAGTCTCACTTTGTTGCCCAGGCTAGAGTGAGTTGCGTGGCGTCAGCCTAGTTCACAACCTCAAACTCCTGGGCTCAAGTGATCCTCCTGCCTCAGCTCCCTGAGTACTGGGACTACAAGCATGCCCACCATGCCAGGTAATTTTTCTATATAGTTTTAGTTGTCCAATTAATTTCTTTCTATTTTTAGTAGAGACGGGGTCTCGCTCTTGCTCAGGCTGGTTTTGAACTCCTGACCTTGAGCGATCCTCCCGCCTCGGCCTCCCAGAGTGCTAGGAGTACAGGCGTGAGCCACCGCGCCCGGCATACCTTGTTTCTCACTCAGAACCCTCCCATCATCTCAGGTGAGTGGGAGTCTGAACATCTCCACTGTGACTAGACGTGGTTTCCCTGCAGGGCTCAACCCCAGAACACGATGGATGCTTTTCCTTTGCCCTCAGCCTGAAAGAGCTGCCCCGTTTTTTCCTTCGTGTCTGGCTCCAGCATCTCATAACAAGTCTACTCCATGGGCAACTCCAGGATCATCTACCCCTCTCCACCTCATCCTCTCTTCTTTGAAAACTAAGCAGGAGACAATTCTAGAAAGGAGGTTGGGGCCTGTCAGTTGCAGGGTTCAAGCAGGTCTCTCAAATCCTACACGCTCCAACAGGACTGAGAAATGCCCCAGGGCTCCAGTATCAGGTGGTAGGGATGGAAAGTTCTAGAAGAACATAGGACAAGGGAGGGAGGGAGCTGAGTGTCCAGAGAAGGGCAGCAGTTCTAGAGCAGACGCTGCCAAGGTCATTGCTGAGTTGCTGTAGCACCCGGCCAGGGTGGACTATGTGAGTAGGAAGAACCTGAGTCCCTTCCCCTTGCCTTCCTTGGAAGTAACCTAAGCTAGAAGTTGACTACTCTGCCCAATAAAATTAAACAGAAAGAAGAGGTTGAAACCCACTAGAGGTGACTGATTCGTCTAACACACATACCAGGACCTCTCGGAATTGTCTTAAACCTATTTACTGTGCACCATTTTTAACGAGATGGAAGGGGTAAGCTAAAAACTTCCTCCAAATAAAATAGGACCTCATATGACTTTCCAGGAATGTCTTTAACCATCATCATCTTTTAAAAACTGGAGCAGAGGGGACATTTCCACTCATCAGAGCATACTAGTACCTCAAGGAAGGTAGGGCTAGTGGCTTGGGGAAAAAAGCACGTTTGAGACTGTAATGTATTAGTACTTCTAGCTAGGATGAATCTTGCTCCATGAATTCTAGAGTGCAGGAAATAGTCGTATTATATCTTTTCCTTGAATAAACTTAAGGCCGTCTACAAGCCCATGTTCTGCTGCTGAGGTGGGTGGTGCAATGGTATTTATTATTGTTCTACACACACCCCAGCAACAACATGCCAGAGTTGTCACCTTACACAGAACAAAATATTCATGTAGGTCTGCAAGATTCTAGCGATGTTGTTGGAGACAGGGCAGAGACATGTGCTGAGTAAGCAAAACTCTACATTAATATCTCAGTAAGTGTTTCGGTCACCTAATTGCATATTTGGAACTGCCCCCTGAAAAAATCTTATTGTCATCATAATAAATAGTAGGAAAATGATATAATTTTTTTTTTTTTTTTGGCTGGTACATGTGGCCTGAAAAGTGAGGGAGGAGGAGTCTTCTAAACAAAGATACCAAGCCACTCCGGACTGGAGGAAGTGCTGTTCTGGGACTCGAGTCCTCTACTCACTTCACATAAACCTCACCCAGATGTTAATACTTTTGGAGGCTGCATGCTCGGGCCCACTGGGCTTGGCCCAACTAATAAGATGAATCTGTGGGCAATGAAAGTGCCTTAAAAAGGACTAAAAGCAAAAAGGGTTATTTTGGTGTCTTTCTTCCCTGAACAGAACTTCTCATTCCACCTCAGTCTAGATGTTGCAAATCCCCTTTTTCTAACTCTGCCTTTTTGCTCTGAGTGCCTTGCTGTGTGGGTTTTCTGATTATAGCCTCACACCCCAATCAATACAGATGCATACTCTGTCAATTACGCTAACTCAGGGGGCCTCAAACTTTTTAAACAGGGGGCCAATTCACTGTCCCTCAGACCGTTGGAGAGTGCGCACTGTGGGCCCGGGACGAGTCTGCTGCTAAGCAGGACAGGCAGCGGCGGCAAAAACACCCGGAGGGCCGGATAAATGTGCTAGGTGGCCTGTGGGCCATAGTTTGAAGATGCCTGTCCATTCTTTCCCTTTCTTGTGGAATCCCCACTGCAC